AATTTCAAGACAAAATCACTGCAAATACAGAAAGATTCCTGTGAGGTTCTTGCTATCAACCCTATCAAATCCACTTAACCACAGCAGATGAAACCTTTGTTCATTTCCCTCTAGCTGGCATCTTCAAAATACTTTCCTCATTTTCTTTTAAAATATTTTGAGATTGGTTTTGTTTTGTATGCAACCCAGAAAATGTATCTTTTTTGATACCTGCAGAGCTATTATATCATGGTCATTTTTCTGGCCATCATCTTTAAAGCAGCTGAACTGACAATGTGCCATACAAGATATGAAAAATTTGTTACTCTGTTGTACAGAAAGGGAAACGAGACAGGGAGGAGGCTGAGCTTGCCAAGATCAAACAAAGTTTGTGGTAGAAAAAGAGTTTGCACCCAAGTCTTCCAAGTGGCAAGCTACCACCTCAACTAAGCTTCAGTACATCTTCAGCTGTGACCAAAACACATGAGATGTGGGGATTGAACTGAAAATAAGGAAATCTCAAACCATGAAACAACAGCTGTGAACTTAAAAGCAGATATAACGTGCATTTGTATGCAGTCCATGAATGTTAAGGATCAATTTGATAAAATCTTAAATTTAAACTCTTTTTGACTTCGCAAACAGCCTACTATTTTATGTCCTATTTTTTCCTGCATGATTCTGACCTCCTGTCAGACAAGCTCTCCCAAACCTGAGCCTCAAAATATCTGTGCAGCTACTGAACTGCATGCAGCGTGCTTGTTAACAAGAAATGAACCTGGAAGTTAAGTCACTGCTAATTAAACTCATAATTACAAATGGAAGGCTAGACAGCAGATCCAACGGCTGTTTGAAAATGTAATAAGACAAAAGAAAGAACAAACTCGCAAGTAATAATTTAGCCCTTACTTGGCAGACTGACTCATTAGAAGACTTCTCAGCTGCATATAGTTCTGAAGGCAAACATCAGAATAATACATGCAAATCATTGGGGTTTAAACACATTTTTCAAGGATCAGTACAGGCTCTGAACACTACCTAGATTCCTATTTGAAAACAAAGATTAAGGACTGCTCATTTACAAAGTTAGAATATGGTTCATGGCTTCCCAGCCTGAGCTCCAAAGTGGTTGCCACCAGCACATTCACAAAAAATGCTTTCCATTTCCAGAACCAGGTAACATCTCGCTCCTCTCCCCACATATGATTGAGAAACCTGACTGATGGTTCATTGCCCTGCCTTTGTTCCCTTGCTCTGAGGCTGGGGCAGAGAAGAGGAGAGGAGCACAAGAGGTAATTTGGACAGAAAGCTCAGAGAAGGGATATTAAAAGAGCAAAAAGCTGCAGAAGTACCAACCACAAGCCACTGGAAAAGAGAGCACTGTCAAGGAAGGTTCACACTGTTTTCTGCTATCCTTGGTCTCCTAAAGGGCCAGAGGTTTTGATGTGGGTCCCAAACTTCATATTCTGCCTCTCCCGACCACCCCGTCTCAGTGGGATGGGTGACATGCACACAGGATGTGCAAGGAGCCAGACAGCATGTGCAGATGTGCCATACCAGAAAGCTGGATGCTCTCTTGTCATGAAGCCCTTAGGGGTTTGGGTTTTTCCAAGGAGAAAGATTTTTGTTCTTTCCACAACAGGCATATTTCTTACATGGAATCTGGGCACCTGGACATCACAGCACTTTGGAACCCAACTGCAACTTAGGAAGTCTCCATCAGGCCATACAGAAATACAGGCAACATTTAAAAGCAGCTTTCTGCCATGCCTCCTACTCTGGGTATTTCAGCTGCCTGGGAGCCACAGGCAGTCCCTGAAACTGAGGGCAGGGAGGAAAAGCCTTGTGGGATTTGCCAATACTACATTTCAACAAAAATCATTCCCTCAACAGCAGGCTTTCATCTGACATGCTAATTCTAAAAATCTGCCTTCCAACAGTTCAACTTCGCTTCAGTGAATGTCTCACCAAGCCCCTTCTAATAAATATCATTTTTGATTTCTATGACACACTTGTTTTGCAGTGAAATTGTAGAGGTAATGATCACTGGGTTGATTGACACCTAGTTATTCAATCAAACATACTCCTATTCTGCTAGTCACAGACCACACATGCCAAATTTGATGCTGAAACAACTTTTATTAGGCATTTTGGAGGGATCTTAGGAAGAAAATCAGTCTTGTAATGAAAACCTTAACTATGTTGCAGCTACTGCAGCACCATAACACTATTGTCTCTCCTGCTGGCAATCGAGCAGCAGCAATACTGAACACCAGAGGACTCCTTTATGGAGGGAGAGGTAACAGCACACATTTACTGAGAGGTTGGGGGGTTGGTTTCTTAACAATGGAAGTATACAGACATGGATTTGGTAGTTCTTTGTTGGTGAGCACATTTTCAGCTATAACTCATTGTCCATCTTTGCGTGGGAAAAATGGATTTCATGTAAGTATTCCTTTCCGGGTCCGTGAAAGATATAATGTAGGCAAGCTGAGAGGCAGATTTAGAAAGGCAAAAATAGCCACTTCACATCGTACAATGCTGAAGATAAGTAGTACTGGGATCTGAGGCACCAGGCCATGACATGTTCATGAAAGGCAGTAATTTACTTTCCCAGGAAAAATATTTGTCCTAAATCTGACACAACATTTTATAAGACAATCCCTGCTAAAGAGTGGGGACATGAAAATGGTTGAAAGCTCAACAGCTTCCAGAGAAACTGTTTCTTTACTCCATCTCCTCTCTCCTAAGGCACTAGTAGTTTTTGATGAGAAGGATTAGTCCAGATCTTTCTTCTCTTTAAGAGTAGCAGGATCTTAGGGAGATTTTGCAAAATTTGTAAAACAGCCAAGGTAAGCCAAGACAGGCAAGTCATGGAATCACAGCATGGTAGGGATTGGAAGGGAGCTCAGAAGATCACCTAGTCCAACCTCCCTATCAGAGCAGGATCACCTAGAGTAGGTCGCACAGGAACGCGTCCAGGCGGGTTTTGAATGTCTCCACAAAAGAAGACTCCACAATCTCCCTGGGCAGCCTGTGCCAGGGCTCTGTCACCCTCACAGTAAAGAAGTAGTTCCTTATGTTTAGGATGAAAGTAAAGAAGTATTTCCTTATGTTTAGGATGAAAGTCCCTTAAGTATCCCAGTTATGCCAACCAGTGACCAAATCCAAGAGCTTTCTGACAACTACTATTTCAGATTACATCAGGAATGACTCGAGTGCCTACACCAAAGCATCTGGGACCACTTTAGACACCCCAGGGAATATGAACAATTCACACTGTGGCTTACAATATCTAAGAGAGAACTCTGCCCTTATAGCCAAATAGCTGGAGCATAGGTAGTGAGCTTTATGGCAACTTAAATTACTTTTGTCCTTCTCTGAACTTTGCAGAGTTTTGGCAGGTGCTCAGTAAACCAAACTGGGATTTTCTTCTGCCATGAAGAAATTTTTGAGATCATTATTCAGGCTTTCCAGGTAACAATTTCTATCTTGTATTTCAGGAACAATTCTTTTCTTTGAGCTTTATGTTATGGCCAGGCCTCACAGGTACTACATGGTAATTTTATTCTACTTAGTTTCTTGTGTTATGTCCAGAAATTGCTTGCAGTTCTTATTTCTGTAACTGTTAAAACCACTTATCTTCACCAAACTAATAGAAAATTAACTTAAAAACAAAGCCTGTTATGGTTTTGGGGCTGGTTTTATTATTATTATAACACTATATCCATACAAAGCATTACATTACCTGCAAGTATACAACGGCAAGTCAAAACTGGAAATACTGTTAAATTTGCATTTATGAGAAATACATGTATTTATATCCTTCTGCACAGATACCATAGAGAAGGCAAAAGCAGCTTTTGTAAGTGCCAGCCTCACCTAAGCATCAATGCCTCTGCTTCAGGAGCCAAGCACAAACACTACAGCCTCAGTTTTCCCAGCGCAACTCCAAATGAGCCTGACAGAGTAACTGTGTCACTCTCAAGCACCTAAAATCCTCCTTTCTAGAAGGAGAGCCTGTGTCACAGCACCCATCCCCTGGCCACCTCTCCACTTCTTTGCCCTCAGACCAAACGTGACACTCTAATCCTGCCAGCACCGGCTGAGAAAGACCAATGGCCCTCCCGATGCCCCATGCCAGTGGGAAGGTGGAAATTTCGTCTGTGTTTTGAGAGAAAAAATTACAAGTCTTCAGCTTTTAAACTTCCTGAACAAAAACAAATCACACATACACACACATAAATTGCCACCAAACAACCAAGAGCTGCTCAGAGGCCTGGTTTATTGAAATATTCTCACCGGGTTTGGATTAGTAGGCAAACAGCAAGGGAAAGAAGCCAAAGGTGCAAGATATATTGGGTTTGTTACAGAAGCTGTAATTTATCTTCACAATATTGCCAACACAACTGTAGAGAATTATATATAAATTTAATAAAACAACTGTTTTATTAGATCTATTATGCTGGAGTCAGGTTCAGTTATCTTCTCCTCCCTGAGAAGAAGTTTCCTCTGTAAATAATGTCACTGAATCTGGCCTTTTATATTTTGGTCATTTATATTTTAAAAGACCAACTACACTACCTTACATGCAAATAATAGTATAAACAACAGTGTATATCAAAATATTGAGACCATAAAACTACACACCAAAGGTGAGAAGTGAAATGTTACAGAGCTCCCTAGAGGTGGCGGTTCCCTCCGATGTTCAGCAAAGAAATAAAGACAGCTGAAGCAGAGAGAGCTCTAGTTAAGCAAAATACATATAAACATGAAAGATCTGTCTTCTGGAAAAATACACAATTGGAATGCCACTGTCCCTTCCATGCACCTGTCAAAAATGCTTGAAGGTTGCTGGAGTGAGGAAGAAGGAGGCAGGGGGGAAAAAAACCCATCTGCTGAAAATAAGCAGAATATTTTATTACAGAGTTATCTCCTCCTTGCAAGAATGAGTTCTCAAATGGATAATACCTTTCTGTGAAATCCAGGTTTCCAGCTTCATGTTAAGAAGAGGCTCTTACCTTATGGGATTATCCATCCTTGATACGGTGAGAAATGCTGCCAGGTTTGCTGTGTAGGAAGAGCACACGATAAGGGTGAAAAGCCACCAGCTTCCCATGACAATGCGCATGGCCACAGAATTGACAGTAGACTCACCCCCTACAAATAAAGAGAGAAGATGAGGATCTCAGCAGCTTCCACTTACGATCACCCTCAGCGGGCCCAATAATGTTAAGCTTTGTTGCAGTTATTCCTCTGCATTTCTGCTGCCCCTCCAGACCGCCCTTTCACTGTGAGAAAAATCACTGCTTCCGCTACGACTGACAATTTAAAAATGCTTTCTCCAGTCAACCTCTTGCCCTGGATACTGTTCTAGGAAATCACCTTTCAAAATGTTTCCATTGGGAATTACGAGGATCAAATCTAAAGAACATGAAGAATGTTCTAAATAAAGAAATTTAATGGTGAAGCACAACTAACATGCAGGAATTAAATCATTACAAATGTTCAGAACTGAGGAATATTGTGCTTTCAATGACCATTTTAGATTTGGAAAAATCCCACAAAACTGCCCAATGGTTTGCATGCTATCTGTGCTGTATTTAAATCCGTAAAGACTGAAGCATTAGTGTCATTGCTCGTTACTCTTTACAATATTTTGAACAGCATGAAGATTTCCTCCTAGCAGGCTTCAAGCACACTTATACTTGAACATTGCTGGAAACCAAACTTTACCATACAGCTGGTGCTAGTCACTTCAGCATATGCTTGTGCTAATTTTATCTTACTGTAATTAAACCCATCAGGGATGCCACCTTAATAAAATGAGGGACCAAGTTTCATAGCAGTAGTAAGGATTTTCCAGCTGAAGCTTCATAAGCTTGCAATCACAATGAAAAAAATGTAAAAAAAGTTAACAACATACCCATATGCTAGCATTCAACAAAACCTGTCTTCCAAGAACAGTACTAACATTATAGATATGGGACAAAAATTGTGTGGGTAAGATTTTGCCAACAGTTATTTACAAAAGTAACTTTGTTAATGGCAGCAATTCTACTGAATTCAATAGGATTAGTCCTGTGCCTAGAGATTGCTGCATGTAAAGTTAGTTACACGACTACAAATTATTTCCCTATTCATTTCAAAGAGCCAAAAGATAAACTGTTTCTTCTTAGTTCAAAGCCATATACATTTCTAAAACTAAAATTTTAACAATTAGAAAATGTGACAGTTTCAGAGTTGGAGAACTGTTGCGATTCTGATCCAGGTAGCTCTGTAGTTTATTTACCGTGTGATAATTTTCCAAAAGTGGAAAAGCCTGTTAGGAATGTTTTTTTCTGTATTTACTGAGAGACAGAAAAGCAGAATATAACCCCTCCCCAACTTACCTACTTCTTCCCACTTTTCATCAGCTGGGTTAATAAAAGATATCACCACCCCGTACAAGCTTTCTCTTTCATGTTCAGACCATTCCAGCTGAGACAAACATGTCCCAAGCTGCTTTACCCAAGGCAGAACATTTCTGAACGTTCATCAGCAGTTTTCCCAAGAGAGTACGTACCTTGCTGAACAAAGGCTCCGTAGACAACCCAGATGGCACTGTGGAGGGTGGAGGAAGCAGATGGGCTAGGCTGGGAAGCATTCTGAGCCCTGATTGCCTGGATCCGGTTCAAGACAAAGATCAAGACACCAACGATTGGGATGGCTGCAGCAATGCAAGCCCACACCGCAAAGTCAAAAGGAGCAAAGAGAGAGAAGATGTTGATTTTCTCTTCGGGCTTTTTGATTAAGATCCCCACGGAATAGTCCATGTACCGCTTGCTGAAATCCACAACGCTCTCTCGTTCTGGTGTTATAGTGATGGCTGAGATGGCTAGGTCTGCTCTCTGCGAGACAAACACAACAGATCAGATCTCTTCCCTTCATCAAGAATTTGGAGAACATGGGCCTCATGAAGAAAATTCTTGAGAACCAGGAGACTCCATGTATTTCTTTGTATAGCTTCACACATTTAGAAAAATGGAAATAAATTATCTAAAAAGGAACCTAGCATCAGTTTCCTCATCTGAATATTAGTTAATTGCACTGGTCTAAAGCAGAGGAGTGAAACAACCTGTCAACATATTCCAGAATGAAAGTGTCACCCTAACTCCTCTCCGGAGTGAGTGCAACTTATTTAACCTTTATCCATCGCTTGTTTTCCAAAGGATGCCTAAAAGTCCAAACCATATTAACCTGCTGCGCTGCAAGCACTAAGAAAGAATTAGCTTGTGTATTTGATAGCAAGGTGCGAAGAGCTTATGTTGTTGTTCTCCCTGCAGAGTTGTCAACTTCCCATATTCACAAAGGGATTTCATCTGACAATTGAAGGGAAGATTTTGTTTGTTTTTTACAATGAATTAAGTGATTGCAAAAGCCAGTAACTGGAAGACTACTCCAAAGGCAACTTAGCTCCTGCAACTGCTTTGACCTCAATATTTAAAGTGAGTAAGTTTTACACATAGAGGGTCCTTAAAGAGTATGCAAACTCAATGGAAGATAAAATAGGAGTTAATAAATAAGATTCTCAAAGCTTCTGAAGAGCTGCAATTAGATTTTGATTTTTTTCCATCTTCATTGAAAAAGTTCGCTTCAAAAAATACAAGGTAGTTTTTGCTTCCTATCTATATTTTGTCTGGAAAGTAAAAGAAATGTTATGTGAGGCTGGTCCACGTAGAAATCCTTTGGAGTCAGTAGCAGAAACACCATTTTAAAAATACCATAATAGATATTCTGTTGCTTCAAAGAAAGCAATTTAAAACAAACAGAAAAATTAACATAATTTCTTACTACATTTTCAAATCAATGAAATTCAAACAGCTTATGTCAAGGTAAAATAAGTAGAAAAAAATCTTTATATTTCCTAGTACCAACCAAGAATATTCCATTACCATAAACATGTCTGCCACTGCTTTAATTGCTTCTATTTCTTCCTAAACATCTACTTACCAGATACTGAGCTGCCTGTTTACTAGACAATGAGAAAGTTTTAGCGTTCAGTAATAACTCCACTGCAAAACAAGAACCTTTTCTACAAAGGGCAGCAAAATGGAATATTAATTTCTTTGATTCTCCTTCTTAACATTTGTCCAATGTCAGACAGTAAGAACATTAAAAACATACACACTAATTTCATTCACTGGGAGATCCTAAGCTACGAAGTTTCCCCATTTACTTCAGTGGAGTTAGTTAACTTAGTCCTGATCTGTGAAATTGTAATTAAGAAAGAAATTTGGTCCTCTCTGTTTTAAATGAATGAATAATCTTGAGATCATTTCAAATTCTGGTCCTTCTGAACGCTTCTTTATGGTATATTACTAGTGACACTTTTCCTGTTTTGTAGTCAAACAGTTGATTATTATCAAATGCATTGCCATGAAGTGACCCAAATACAGTTACATCTACAAACAAGTAGCAAAGACATAATGACAAAAATTGAAATAATAGTAATTCATATTTTAAGATGAATACTTTATTTCCTCTCTATTATTTGTAGCCATTCACTCACACACACATACATGTCCCTTCTTCTTATTCTTACAGCTATGTAAACACACAGATTTACACTGACATAATGTTGAGAACAGTTGGGAATAAATAGACTGAATGACTCCCTAGATCCTATCCTGTATGCAGGGTCTTTAATTGCACAGTTTACACCACACTCAAACCACCCATAGTTGTCTGTGTACCTTGTTAATGAGTTCTCCAATCATGCCATTCCAAGAGCTATTTTGGAGCTGCTGTCCATATTTGCCATCAGGAGATTGATATATCTCATACTTGAAGCCCAGATTCTTGGCAAGTGCATCCAGGACATCGATGGAAAATCCTTTATAACGTTTCGGTTGCCCAAGTATGTTCTCCGCCACCATCACAAAAGGTTCTTCCTGAGAACAAAACAATACCTTAACCAATACTTGAAATGAATTTTTTAGTTTGCTTCGCTTGGCAAGAGGACATTTCCTGAGTTAACTCTGGACAATTTAATACAGATTTTGAGCCACTCATAAGTTTCTGAGGCAAAAACTGTAGGTCATGTGGGATACTCTGAGGAATCCCAACCAGGCAGCACTGCCTCAGCACCTGAGTCCTACCCATGGCCTTGGGTTTTCTGCAGTTCTTGAGAAGAAGCAGAGACTCCAGAAGACAATTTAACCCTTCTAGCAGCTTCCTGGTGCCCACAGGGATGAACTGCTCTCTGAACTACCTGTCCTTTCTCACTGACTATACAGAGGGCACGGACACCTATCTTAGTGTTCTAAGTAGCTTAACACAGATATTAAGGTAAGCACATGAGTCCTAGATAGGAACATTACTACTATCCATCTATCTCAGTCCACATCAGATATAGAAAGCCATCTTTTACAGACAACAATTAATCTTTTATCCAGGAGATATACTGAAACAAGAGCTAAACCCACTGCATTTTGCGAATGTTTAAAACTTTGAAAATTCAAACAATAACCTTCATGAGTACTCGTTCCCAGAGTATTTTAAATTAAAGTGCGTTTGGACACCAAGGTAACACAACATTTTGTGGTATGTTTTCTGTCAGGCACGGCTGTCCTTCTCTTCTGCGGGGGAGTGCCAGGGCTGCTGGTGACACAGCCACCACAAGTTGGCCACCTTTGAGACCTGGTACTGACATTCTGATTGAAGGTATCTACTCACCTCTCATGTAAGCTGCAGGATAACCATCCCTGTCACCCAAGAGGAAAGAAAACTGGGAGCTGAGGTGCCTTAACAATCTTTAGCAGTACTTTCAATTTGTACCATGATTCAGAAAAAGAGAAATCAGAAATACAAAAAGACATCGCATTGTGCAATCTGCAAGCTACAATATTTTAGGCAGGAAAGCATTTAAACCCTAATTTGTCCCTAATTTAGCACTTAGCTGACAGGAGCTCTGTTACCACTCTGTATACTAATAGACAGTAGTCCCCAAAGCGTAATGATTTTTTGGAAAGACTATGCCTTTCTAAAAGATATAGCTTATCTCAATGGGAATTTATAAGCTTGATGGAGGAAACACTTGATTAATTTTTACAGCCTGCAGTGTACAAGAGCCAAGATTAGATTATCATAATTGGCCCATCTGATCTTAAAATCCATGAAATGCTGGAAACTACACATCCAAGTTAAGAGTATGGTATCTGGAACGCACCCTGTGCGCTCAGGCCCTGTGCTGGTTTCATGCCCAGTAGGAATTACAATGCAGAACAACAGCATAAGCAAACAAACAAATGTTCTGTATCTGTGACAGTGCACAGCTTCACATAAAATAAAAGGCCAGCCTCTATCTCCTTTGCTTACATAATTGATCATCCAAAAATACAGAACTGAAAATGATAGGGAAAAAATACTGTGGGAAGCGCCAGAAATACTCAGTTCCTTTTTATTTTGAGCATTTTTTTTTCCTGAACTCAAATAGGATCATACCAAGACAGTCACCACTTTGAGTGTCAATCCTTGCAAGTCATTGCCCAGACGTCGTTCTTGTAGGCTACCATTCAGTCCTTTCTCAGAGTCCCACGTTGCCAACTAGAACAGAAAGCACAGTGAGTCTGAAGGACTGTTAGACAGAAATCTTTCAGTATTTACACACATATTTAACAACAGCTTGACTGATTCCAGAACTGATAGAGGGTGAGGGATGTGTGCCTTTTTTTAATGCAGAATCAGAATTAGTGAGATTCAGAAGGTAGACATAAACAACTACCTTGCCTGGATGCATTTTGATCGATGCCTGTAACATAACTGCTGTATTGTCTGTAGTATTTGTCACGTTATTTCACTTCGATCACTCTGATATGACATTTCTCTCCAGTAAATTTATATTGCCTGACAGTCCCCAGGATTATCTGTGCTCTCACTATCCCCTATTTCCCTCTCTGCTCAGATCCTCTCCAACTTTTCAAATCATTCCCTACTGCTTATCAAAAATGGACCTTTTTTCCTTCTGCAAAACGTTCTCGCTCACTTATAGTCATGAATTTTTGACACAGATTCCATGGTATCAAACTGTCTCCTCTCTCGGACTTTCTTCAGATCCTATCTTAAGTCTTATTTCCTTTGTTCTTGCCCTACTTCTACCTCTTCAGTAAAACAATGACAGCCTCTCAAATTCCCAAGCTCCTGACGAACAAATATCACATATCTGCCAGTATTTCATGCATCAGCTAGATGTACCTGGCTGCGTGTTTTCAGGAGATGTCCTTGGTACATCACATCTAAATATTTTGGTTTGCAAATAATGTATTGATTAAAAATCTTTTTTTTTTGCATTTTCTGAAGAGAAATACAGTAAAATTTAATAGAATAAGTCCAATAGAAAAGTCAATCTTAAGTGACCTTTGGATTATTCAAACTAAATATGCTTTTCAGCAGCAGCAGTCAGAGTCTCCTTTTGCCTTCAGACAGAACCCATGGTGTCACTTTGTTCAGAAGAGTCATAAATAGCATCAAGTAGAAACTGTTTCCTTTTTTTTTTCAGCTTTACTCTTAAACACCAATACTATGCTTATATATGTGGAAGCAGTGTTGTTAGCTAAAGGCATGCCCTGTAGAAATCAAACATAGCCCAGGATCTGTGAAATGTGGCTTCGTCCTGCCAGAAGCTAATTTTCATGTAACAAGTCAAAACCTTCCTTGAAAGAACTTATTTCACAGAAAATGCCTATGGCTAGTTGTCCTACATGATTTATTTCTGTGACTTCAGTTTTATCCTAGAGCCTCAAAAATCAAACCAACAAATAAAATGTGATGGGAGAGATCCGTATAGTTTTATTTTTGTTGTGTTGCACTAAACTGATAAACAAGGAACGAGAAAAGAAGGGGACATTCAGTGAATATCCAGCCATCATAACTATCAAAACCGATGTAAATTATTCTATAGTCACTATATCTTCAAAGCTGAGATATAGGAGAGGAAAGAATTAAATGATTCCTGCTTTTATGCCGATGACCTGGAGGATGGTGAAGGAGCATGACTGAATAATATTCAGCTTTCTGATGACGTTCTTAAAAGCTAAAGTATCTCAGATTGAAAACTCTCCCTCTGTGATGCAGGCTTGGAGTGATAGATGAGCTTCTGCACATAAAAATGTCTGCAGCAATACAGGTAGATTCCTATAGTCATAGTATCTTTTAAATTCGAATTTAGATGCTTGCTCTGAAATATGTCAAGATATGTCTTAGTTTTTGCTACTGCCAAAAGAAATTGACAAATTTGTCATCTGACATAAATCAGCGTGATTCAATAGACTTCAAAGAGCAGCACAGGGGCGTGTGTGGTATATATTGTGTCTCAGCCCCATAAAGGAAGTTCACTGCCTAAGCCTTCATCAGCTGTCCTATGCACTAAACATATGGTAAAGATAAATGGAAGGTTTTGGCCAAAATGGCTTGCACAGATCACAGGTGATCATTAAATATTTATTAAAAAATGGGAAGCGTAACACATTCATTTATTACTTCACCACTGGTGGACTGACATTTCAATTCCTTCTGCCACTCCTTTTCCTTTCAAAAACTCTATCTCACTTCATATCAAGGCCTAAGACTTTGCATATACCCTGTGTTTCACATTCTGCACTAACTCTAAGCATTCCAAACAGCAACTGGAGAGATGCCAGCGCAACACCATAAATTTATTCTTTTTATTCAAAAGCAACAAGACAAAGAATCCTCTTTTATGCAGTAGGGGTGAGAGTAAGGAGAAGGAGCATATTGAATTTTAGCACAGAACTCCATAGTGTTCTCTAAGCAGGCACAAACTTTTCAGTCTCCAAGAAGCAAACTATGCAGCTGAAGTCAATAAACGAAACATGAGGAAAACCATTTCCAGAAGGGATTTTTTCCTGTTCATCCTTGTGCTTCAGAACATTTAATTTGTTCAGAAGTGTGTCAGTTTTAACTTCCATTTCTTGCAGATGGAATTTTGTTTATAGGTCCGATGTATTTACAGATAGGCCTATCAATTTGTGACAGCTGACCTGCCAGGATCAGTGCCTGCGAAACTAATTTCCAGCACTGTTAAACACAATGAGTACTGCTGTTATTTGATAAGGCCGTTAGAGTCTCATTCATTGTAGAAATATGTACCATGATTCAAAGGTTATAGCATGACCATCAGCTGATAGGAGATAAAGGGCTTTTAGATCTGGTTATGATAAACAACTGCTTGCAGAATCAGCACTTCTAGGTTATATTTCAAATATCAAGGGTCTCTGAAATATATATTTAATGGCAGTCTGAGTGGGGTTTTTAGTTCTCAAGTTACTCGGTTATGGGAGTTCAAATTTTGATAAGAGTTTCTTTATTAAAGCTTTTCCATTTCAACCTTCTTCCTAGCTTCTTTCTGAAATAGCCATGTTTCCAGGAATTCTATAGTTCCAGCCATATATCAGAAGTGCAACCACCCAGTAAAGACAAAATAGAGAAAATAAATGTGAAATTCAGAAAAAAAGGTAATTTGTTAGAAAATTCTGACTCCAGACATGCTTCTGATCTTTGTCAACGTTTACTTTGTTTTCAGCCAGAACTGAAAGAAAAGCTTGGACAGAGAAAGTCACAATTTTAATATTGTTTTCAACCTCCACAAGCAATGCGTAACTCCAAAAATGCATACTCAATGCACACACAAAACAATTACATGGTTGGACAACCTCGGAATGTCAAACGATAAGAATATCATCCAAAGTACATCTCTTGAACCTGCTGTTCAGAACTTTGTCCTGAAAGGTACTGATATCTGCCAGGACCTTCAAAGAAAACTTGATCTCGATATAACTTTAGGGTTCCTGAGCTCTCGCTGATAAATTAAACGTCAAATTCTGCATAGGAGTTTCATGATTTTCTCAATGACGCAGCTGCTGGCTGCCCAACACTTACTTCAGGGGTTAGTTCCCCAGGGGAAATCACACTGAGATGTTGTGGTAAACTCACACCAGCGAGTATCAGGAACAACGCCAGAGAACTCTGAAGACTGTCATCAGCACAATGAGGCAGACAATCCTTCTGCTCAAATAAATCAAGGCTGCATGCATTAGACACTGATTTGCAAGGTTTACTACCTCCTGTGAACTTGATCAATCATATTCAGAACCTGTGTGCCACTTCCTTTAGGAGATGAAACTGATGATAAACTCATTTATTTATTACACACCTGTTTCTCTGCAAAGGCTGCGTGTTCATGCTATTCTATTACACCATGATTACATATTCCTTGAACCAGGAACTTAAATTTACTCTGCTGTGAATGTTCACACCACTGGACTGTGGTAAATGTCTGTCTCAGACCTAAACAAACAGGGATGAAAATTATCCCAAACCACTAGTAAAAACACTTAAAAACCAACATTAGCATAAAAAGTGAAAAATTCGTAACAGTGAATAAGATCATCTGCACAATTTTAGTTAATGCAGCAGTAGCTACTGTCCACATAATGCATGTTACTGCTATCTAACATAATTTTAAGTACAATACTGTCCTAAACATGATCTACTTTTCAGGGAAAACATGATTCCCATAAGAAATAAAATAAGATAATTTTCAGCAGATATATAGTAAAGTTTGAAAGGGCTACAACCAGTCATGGGCTACAAGCACGTATCCTCTATGTTACCAAAACCTGAAAAATTTTATCTGGCGATTCCTTTGGAGCTAAGGTTATGCTATTCAAACAAATTAAATTTGGGAAGCCCTGTCTTGAAACCTGAAAAACTTCTGACAGCCAGTAAATTGAAGAGAGCGCGAGGCAGGCAGTTCTCGTGCCATCAGACAAAACACCTGCGTCAACTCAGAGCACATTTTCTGTGAATATGAACGCTGTTCTGTACATGGAATTCCATGAATTAACCTATGCCACTTTCAGTCTGATAACGCTTTTAGATTAAAGTTGAACTGGAACAGATTTCACTAGAATGACAACTTGTTTCTTAAACTCCAAGTCAAAATAATGTGTAACAAATACGAAATCCTTGTATCACGTACACATGTATGTTGAGGCCTCACTCCATTTGCCAGTCTTGCAATATGGCTAAACACTTACTGAGAGATTTAATATTATAAAACCAGATTTTAAGCAAACACAATAATAATAAAAAAGCCTAACAAAATGTAAACATGACAACTAATGTTTACAAGAGACAAATACGAAATAAGGTAATGGTCCATTAAATAAATGGAGCAAATTGGATATTCCTCTGCTTAACATCTAAGGAATAAAAATAGTGAATAAAACAAATTGTTGGTAAAACAAATATTTACATTTTTTTAAAATGCAGTATATCAGTAATCTAGAGAATTTTCTTTAATTCAGTATCATTCACAACAAGGTATTAGTAGGACTGAGCGTAGGATTATGTGTCATTCTTAAAGAACTGACAGGATTTCCTGAGCTAACATTTCCATTTTTATGACTGGAGTTGCCTTGAAGACATAAAAATATTTCCTTTGAAATATGGAATCATAATTAAGAAAACCTTAATAAACATTTTGGACTGCATATTTTTATAATCCAAAATTATATAAAACAGGA